ATGGCTTTGATTTGGATCAGAACTTTCCCATCCCTTCTGGGATATCTTGACCCAGTTTTCTAGTCTGGGCATATCTCCAGCATCACTATCAAAATGCTTCAGTCTGTTTTGTTCTAAATAGTTCCTCTGAAGGCTGGAAGGACTTTGGAAAAATATCTTCAAGCATGGCATGTGCTTCCATGGCTACGAATATCTGAACTACAGCTAGCTGTTACAAGTAATGAATCTGAGGGACAGAAGATAATTGTCCCATCTCCCCTCCTATGTTGAGCTTGGCCGGTCAGAGTTCTGCATTAGCCCAATGAAATTTTCCCCAAATGTCCGCTGCCTTGCTCACCACGTTGTACTCCAAGGTCCTCCTCCTTGCGCAGAGGCTGCATACCTCCTACATGTGATGTTTCAGTAGCTACACAGTGTGGCTGAAATGCAGCCACCTCTGGGGCAGAGAGTTGGGACCAAACAGCACATACCACATTTCCCTTCCATCCCTATGATTAATCTTGGCTAGCTGCAGTGTGTGTAACAATGCCTGTAACCAAGCAAGTTTTGTTTGTTTTTGGCACTCAGTGCAAACATATCGCACTGCTGTACAAATAGTTCAGGAAGTGATATTAAAAAAAAAAAATACATGGAACGTCACTCCTACAGTGACTCTGTAAGGGTAAATTCATATTAAGTTGTGTGAGTGGGAGTACTGTAGCACAGGTATGGGATGGAGGAAAATGATGCATTCCAAAATGCAGAGTTGACCCCAGAATCCTCACTCAAGATGCTCTTAAATAATTCAACACAGCTGATGTGTTTTGAATTTCCAACCCTAAAATGTTCAGAGAACCATGAGACAGGCCCTGAAATCACACAATTAACTTAAAAATCATTAGATTCTAAAAAATAATAAATGTAAGCAATTTATCTGCCTTCTGGTTTTCAGATCATTACACAACATGTTCACAAACTTCTCAGCAAACATGTACAAACTTACTTTGAAAAAATGAAGCTATGATTCCCAGATAATCACAAGACTCCAGGAGCTGGAGCATTAAGAAACATCAAACAATGAGAGAAGGAGCTGCAGGAATCAGCAGCAACTAACTACCCTTAAATCTAAAACAGCTCTTACTATGAGATGGGATGGATGTTTCTCTGGTTACAACGATCTTATCTCCTTTTCCATTTTGCAGAGGTGAGAGCTGCAGTGTAAGACCTAAAGGTCTAGGCTGAAAGATTTCTAAGCTTATTATCACAAGTCACACAAGAAGCTTGTAGGTGTTGATACAGCATTTACAATGGTGTAGTCGTGGTGCAGACACACAACATACAGTCATCTATCAGTGTAACTCAGCCCATTCTAGAGGAAAGTTACTCCTTGGAAAGTCAGGTGTAAAACTGATGCAAGTTACACCAGCTTTAGTCAAAACTCATCTTGGGGTAGCCCTCTGCACAACGTAAACAGGCTAGTACTAGCTACCTAGCCCCCTAGTGGCAAGATGCTGCAATGGCACCTATGACAAGAAGCTCTCACTAGCAAGCTGTTTGCCTGTACAGTCTGGGCAGCAGTGTAACCTTCATCACTGTACAAACCAAAGCAAGTTAAACCAGTGCAGAGATGTTATTTCTCTTTATTGTGTGGCAACCCTTCCAAACATAGTGGCTTAAGCAGAAGATTGTCCTCTTCCTTTCTCTCACTCAATTCATGTGCAAATATAGAACATTTTGTTGATTAAACCAAGTATCAGGCTCATAAGCAATAAATACCTCCACTGTATTGGAAACAAAGTTACCTTTTGCTGCTTACTGTAAGAATTATAGCACTAATGGAAAGAGCTTCTGACATTTCTCTTTTGCTCGTTAATCCAGTCAAGTAGAGTATAGTGACAACATGTGGGGCAACGAGCCATTTTACCAATAATAGTTCATAAATGGTACTGTTTGACAGCCTCATCAGCATCTACACGTTTTATTGTGCATAACTACACCAATGTAGGATAGTACTTGTGTTGGGCAGTACTATCCTACAGTGGAGTTAATTAGTTTACTGCAGCCTAATAGCACTGCACATGTAGATGGTGATGCTTTACTGTGAAGCCAATTAGCTCCAGAGTAAAGCGTCTTGTGTAGACATGGCCACTGTGTGTCCCGTTACATCTGGCCAGCCTAGGATTCTTTTGCCTAAACTTAACACCCAGCTGTTGCAGGCTGAAAACAAGCCCTTGTCCTAACAAAGACCAAAACAACGTGCATGCTTCTGAGCAAAAGGAATAAGATTTGCTGCAGTCCTAAGGACTAAGCCTGGCTTCTTACTCAGAGCCCTTGAGCACTCTCTTATTTCAAAGCTAGCCTGCTTCATCTCTCAGCTCAACTCCTAGAAGACTTATCTTGTGCTATGAAATGCTGTCCTCTCCAGAAAAAGCTTTGAATGGGGTATACTCAAGTCATGTGACAGCGTTACTCTGCAAACTCTGAAGAGGAAGGAATAATAGATTCATAGATGTTAAGGTCAGAAGGGACCTCAGTAGATCATTGAGTCCAAACCCCTGCCCTGGGCAGGAAAGAGCACTGGGGTCAGATGACCCCAGCCAGGTGCCCCAGGTAGATGCTTGTCCAGTCTCTTCTTGAAGACCCCCAAGGTAGCGGAGAGCACCACCTCCCTTGGAAGCCCATTCCAGATTCTGGCAACCTTTACCGTGAAGTTCTTTCTAATGTCCAACCTAAATCTGCTCTCCATCAATTTGTGGCCATTGTTTCTAGTTACTCCAGGGGGTGCCCTAGTAAATAGAGCATCTCCTATTCCCTGCTGCCCTCCCCTGATGAATTTATAGGGAGCCACAAGATCATCTCTCAGCCTTCTCTTGCGAAGGCTAAAGAGATCTAGGTCCCTCAGTCTCTCCTCATAGGACCTTGCTTATAGGCCTCTGACTATACAAGTGGTCCTCCTCTGGACCCTCTCGAGGTTCTCCACATCCTTCTTAAAATACGGAGCCCAAAACTGGATGCAGTACTTCAACTGCCGCCTCACCGGTGCCGCATAGAGGGGAAGCATCACTTCCCCGGACCTATTCGTCATGCATCTGCTAACGCATGATAAAGTGTGATTAGCCTTGTTGATCACTTCGTCACACTGATGACTCATGTACATCTTGAGTCAACCATGACTCCAAGATCCCTTTCTGCTGCTGAGGTCATCCCCTAGTCTGTAAGTGTATCGGTGGGTCTTTTTGCCCAGGTGCAGCACTTTGCATTTGTCTTTGTTGAACTGCATCCTTTTTGATTCTGCCCATTTTCCCAACCTGTCCAGATCCACCTGGATCCATTCCCTACCCTCTGGTGGGAACCCTTTGCCCTATAATTTGATATCATCTGCAAACTTGGACAGGGTGCTCTCTACACCCTCATCCAAGTCACTGATGAAGACATTGAACAGCACCAGTCCAAGGACCAAGCCTTGCAGGACTCCACTGCCCACCTCTTTCCAGGTCGATATTGACCCGTCCACCACCAGTGTCTGGGTGCGACCCCGAAGCCAATTTGCCTCCCACCTGACTGTGTAATCATGTACATCACAGCCTGTCAGTTTATTTACAAGAACAGAATGAGATACCGTATCAAAGACCTTCTTAAAGTCTAGGTAGATGACATCTACCTTGACTCCCGTGTATAAGCATTTTGTGACCTGACCGTAAAAAGAAACAAGGTTAGTCAGGCAGGATCTACCTTCAATGAACCTGTGCTGATTTCCTTTCAGCATTATTTCCCCTGCTAGGCTCCCACAAATGTGATCCTTAATGATTTTTTCCAGAGTTTTCCCAAGGATACAGATGAGATTAACTGGCCTGTAGTTTCCCAGTTCCTCCCTCCTCCCCTTCTTGAAAATAGGGACCACATTGGCCCTTTTCCAGTCCTCTGGGACCTGACTGGAGCACCATGAGTGCTCGAACACCCAGGCCAGCAGCTCTGCTATAACACTGGCCAATTCCTTCAGCACCCTTGGATGAAGTTCATCTGGGCCTGATTATTTGAACACATCCAGCCCCTCCAAGTGCCCCTTCACTAAGCCTGGGCTAACAGTTGGTGGGCTGGTGTCCCTCCTGTGTCTATTGGCAGTCCAAATGGGAGATTTGTCTTGGTCTGCATCTAGAAATACAGATGCAGAAAACTCAATGAAGAGCTCAGCTTTGGCCCCCACCTCTGTCACCAATTGCCCTAGTTTGTCCTGTAGGGGTCCTATGCTATCCTGTGCCTTCCTTTTGGTCCCTATATACCTGAAGAAGGACTTTTTGTTGTCCTTATTTTGTCACCAGCCTAAGTCCTAATCCTGCTTTGACCTTCCTAACTGATTCCCTGCAAGTGCAAGCCAGGGAGGTATACTCCTCCTTGGTAGCTACTCCATCTCCACAGCCTGTATCCCTCTTTCTTTGCCCTTAGGTTTTCCTGGACTTCCCTGTTCAGCCACGAGGGCTTCTTGGCCCCTTTGCCCCCTTCTATGCGCAATGGGATTGTCTCCTTCTGCACTCCCTTGAGGACTGACAACGTTCCTTTGAGGTACAAATCACCTCTAGCTTGGCATTGCTCAACTCTCCACAGGTCTCAGGGGTCTGCACCTCAGATCACATCAAACATAAGCATAACCACTATTCAGAAAGGAGGAGAGACACAAGAAATAAGCTTAAACTAAAAACTTGGAAGTTTGTGGGAAATCTCTTGAATTCCATCCTACCTAACCCCCCTTGTGCATCTACACTGGAGTTTGGTTACCTGGGTGTGTGTAGCTCTGTCAAGTGGATGCTATCATGTGGGCTCAGCATATCCAGAAACCTGGCCTCAGGTACACTCTGCAGCATAGACATACCCTCTATAGTGGACCAAACCAAAATTCTAGGTCCAAACAGCAGTGGAATTTGATTAATCTGGACCCAAACTCGGTTCTTCAAAGATTCAATGCTGGTGGATTTGACTGGAACCCAAAAGAAAGAGAAACAAGTTTGAAGTGCTTTCTATCTTACCAGCTGAGTCTGCTGCAGAAGTCCTACCGCTGGTCACCTCCTCTGTATTTACCGACTGCAGATCTGTGTAGGACGGTGCAATGCTTGGGCTGCTGGTATCCTCCGAGTTGGCTGTCCAGCTGCTCTCAGAAGCAAGAGGTCGTCTCTCAGAAGAATCTGAGGAGGGAGTTGTCCAGCTGGGTGCTTTCGATGGAGGAGCTAGGTGTGCGAAACAAAAAGAAAGATTAGTGCACTGAGAGAGACTCTTACAGTGACAGACTGGTGAGAAAGGGGATGAAATGAACGGCCTTTAAGGCTCTTTGGGCTACAGATGGCATGATAGACCACTGATCTATAAGAAGAGGGGGAAGGGCACGGTAATAGCAGGTTAACACCATTCATCCCCTTTGTCTCTAGAGATCAGGGGATTATGTCCTGGTTTGTTGCATAAACAAATGTGCCAGGCAGCCTAAACCTATTTCTTCTCATCATAAGATCCTCCTGGGACTGTGTATAATTCAACATGGCTGTCTGCTTCTGCTCAAGAGGCAAGCAGGCATTGACACAATATAAAGCTCTGTTCACTGAGGCTGACATGGAATGGCTGGACTATGGGCAGATGCTCATGACTGGAACAGCAGGAGGTATACTGTCCTTTATATAGCTTTGGTGGGGAGCTTGGAGTAGGCTTGGCTTTAGCTTGAGTTACTAGTCCATGATTTTCATTTCACTCCCTGGTTTTTAAATTGGAGACTTGCCCAGCTTTAAAAATAGTAAAACTCCCTGAACATGTGAGAGTAACATAGGCAGCTGACTCCAGGACTAAGCATTATACTTTGGGATGAGGAACAGTTCAGCATTTTGCCACTTTAGAACTGAGATCCAACATGTTCATTATTGCAGACCACTAGCATGACCATAACAGGAGTAAACAGGTCTGTCCTGAGATGGTTTTAAATCATTAAAATGCTTTGGCCACATGCAAGCTTTCTTTCCTCAACATGTCTCACATAATGCAACTTAAATAGATACCAAATCTGCTTTCATTCTGTCCCTTGAACTGTTGACACATGGGTTGAAAAGTTCTTCTGTTTTACTTTGGCTCATTGTTTGCTGTCATGCTGCCTAGTAATTCCTCACAGGAGCCACTTACCACAATAGTGATCTCTATGGCTACAACAAGAGTAACACTTGTATACCATCCTGAACAGGCATTTGATAAACATGTAGACATAATTAACTTAGGAGGAGCAGTAATTCTTCCTGCCCCATCAGCAGAAGGCCATAACTACTTAAAAAATGTATTAAATCAGAGTATTACTACTGACCCCCCTCATAAACACAGGCCTAATCTCCACAAAAGTAAGAGTCATCCCACTGTTATATAAAAAAAATAATTGCATGTCACTGTTATATAAAAAAATTAATTGCATGTACTGGATAGAATCGGAACTGTTCAACTGTGTGTCCTAAACCTTATCCTGCTAAAAGGTGAAGGAGGTTTTACTGTAGCTTGAAGAACTCAGGCCTGTGATTTTTGGAGCAGTAAAACTCAAGTTTTATTCCTGTTGCTATTGTCAAGTTCCAAATTCCTGTCAGACAGAATAGTGAATGTCCTACACCACTCTGGTATTATATTATTTAATCAAGCAATCCCAGGCCATGCTGCCCACTTGAATGCAGCAATCCAATTGTGTGAGTGCACCAGGGAAATGACAGTCTGAAAAAAGAAACAAAACTGGCTTGATGACACAAACCAGAAATGGGCCTGTATATCTGATATGGTTAGATGCAGCCTGCACAGTAGAGAAATTGCAGTCTAAACTGATTGCACCAGGTTTTGAGGCCAAAGTTTTACTGTGTTAATTTGCCAGATTTCAATGCCAAACATTAGCCCCAGCACAAACTTAATCTGGAATTAATTACATCTTCCTGAACTAATCTCCAGCAAAAATACATTGTGCATGTTTTGTCCACAATACTGTTAGAATTTAATTTAGAATTAAACTAAATATGGTCTGTAGGGAATGGAGAAGCTCCAAATAAATATAATCTTAAAATTGCATCTGCATATGAGAATGTTGGGAATAACTAGACACAGTGCAAAGAGATTCATTACTGAGAAACATAACTCCTAACATTAATGCTTATTTCAGCATCACATGGGTATCTACATAGCACTGACTAAATTTCTAAAATCCTGTTCCATAATACACTGGGTTTGGTATAACATCTGTTCTGGGTTTTCCAGGACACGATTCTCTTCCTCTGCTGTTCCGAAGAACTGCTTGCGGTTAGGAAGGGGGTGCCCTCAGAACACTGCATGCGTCTTCACGGAAAGAGATTAACACAGATGATGCATCACTACTTGCAACAGTACTGAGTACATTGTGCCAAATCTGCATATTTTTCATCAGCTCAGCGAGATTTTTTTTTATAGCATCATTTTCTGATTCCCTAATTAGGATCACCTGTTTCTTCCAATTTAATTTTATTCTTGATCCAGCTACTGCTTTTCAAGTCATTACTGTAACGTTCCAATTATACATTGAACACAAATTTTCAGGTGGGGACTGGAACAGTAGGAAGTTCAATTTTAAGAAAAACAGTGTCTTCCCTGAAGGTGGTAATATTCTACACACACATTAGTCTTATAGCTCAGTTGTTGGGGGCCTGATTATAGGCCAATACTGAATATTACGTTAAGTGCAATTTTTTATGGTTCTTTTTAGGGGAATATAGGTCAACTTATAATCATATCAATTCAGTACACTCATGACTGAAGGAAAAAGAAATGCCAACAGACGCACGGTGACTATAAACCCTGATTTCTAACTTAATTGAGAAATCTATGGCATCCCGATTTCTACACTAGGAAATTTGGGGCATTATCTGTGAAGTCTGGGGCCCTAGCCCATAATGCAGGTTCAACTCACATTATATTGGCTTGTACATTGGATGAGAATGGCAAATAAATGATAAGGGGGATTTATCCATACACCTGTAATCTCCAGAATATTATTGATTGTTAGTGTGCAGAAAATATATTTCCTACTAAAGAGAATACACCTTGAGGCAAAGAGGAATAGACTGTCCAGGCTACACCTCTACTTTGCCTCACCAGCAGGGATCCTAGTTTTCTGTGGGGAAAAAAAAAAGCGGAAAATCTCCATTTAAAAAACACAAGAATCTGTTTTTCTGTGACCTACTAAGAGCATGGCCATGTCCCGCAGTGAATGGCGCCACTTCTGCTCTTAATTTTGCTGCAGTTTTTGCCTCTTGGCCAATGAGCAACACGTACAGATCCTCCTCCCGTGCTGAGTGGCTTAAAGGCAAAAATAAGAGAAAGCAAAATTGGTGCTGCTCACTGTGGGATGCTGCTGGGCTTTTGGTAGGTCCTGAAAAAAACACGGGTTCCTTGTTTTTCCATGGCTCCTTTCTGATCAGACTGCCTCCATATTTCTTGTGGGCATCTGCATTGTTGTCTTTTCATGGCTGGATTCCAGTCTACTTTTGTATATATACGTATGACAGCGTATTGGATAGAGCTCTGTCACTGTGGACTTGAAAAATCAGGAAATCTAATCTCCCCATTGCACATGACTGATTTGACAACTGTGTTTAAGTGATGTAGCAATAAACTACTGTGGTACTTAGTCTGCTTGGCTAATAGCTAGAGATGAAACTTTTCACATCAGAAGCTGGTCAGAAAAGAAAGGTGACAAGTGTATGTCTGTCAATGCTCTCTCTTCTTTGCTCTTTTGTTTAATTTGGCAGGAAGTACCTGGGAAGCCAGACTTAAAACTTCATTTTAAATGATTTTGACAGGAACAGAATGTTTTACTCAGTCGTACCTGACAGGATTTTAGGACTTGAGCTTCATAAGGGCAGGAGAGAAACTCTGCTAAAGATGATGTGTACTTTGACCTTAGAAGATGCACATACTTTTACTCAAATACAATAGGATAAACTAAGAGTAGACCTGCCCCCCCCCGAGCAAGATACTGGACTTAGAAATATGAAAAAAAATCCCGTAAGCAGAAAGAAACAGTATTTCACAATTCAAATACTGTCACATTTGCCAAATCAGGATTCTACATCCAACATGAAAGTGGCTGAGGCCACACACCCCTTACGCCACACTATCAGGGGTCACATGCCCTGTGGGCTGCACCAGAGGAGGTCATGGGCCCCAAGTGTGCATGCTTCATGCGCACCACCACCTGCTGCACTGTGCACCCCTCACACTGCTGTTGCATATGCCCATGCATGCACCTCCCACTTTACTGGAATGACTCCATGTGGATGCTCCTTTCCACTGCTATGCTGCATGCCACAGCCTCATCCTGAGCTCTCTATGCTATATTGCACCACTCTCTGCAGCAGGCATAGAACATGAAAACTGGGTGCAACCTCCCCTCCACTCCAGAGGTGATGAAGGGAGTGGTGGCTCGGTGGCCTAGAGGCCAAAATTTAACCCCTCATGGGCTGTGTGCAGGCCATGGGCTGCCTGTTGGACAGCCATATTCTATAGGATTAGGATTTGTCTACAAAGGAAGATGGAGCAGAATGCCTCACCGCATGAACAAAGCGATTCTATTCCTTAACACTCTATTTGGAAAGCACATTATTATTTTATTATTCTGGATAAAGAGATGTTTAGTTTGGAAGAAAGTGCCCACATGGACTCCTATGCTACAACAGTCCTGGTGGAAAAGCTCATTTCTTAATAGCTGGTGTGGTCCATTTCCCCAGATCTGAAAGAGAAATGCTTCAGTCTTATTTCTCAGCCATAAAACTCAGAATCCACCAAGCAAGCTTCTAGCTAATGATACAAAGTGAACTATATTGCTTAAACATTAAGTCCTCCAACATCTTGCAGTTTCACATCAATGCAAATAAAGTAATTTGTAACTGTTCACTTCAAAAGAAACTTCAGCTTCTCTACGGAAAATCTTGCTGCTTTCCAGCTTCTTGCAACTGCTCATTAAAAAAATCCAAAATGAAGGAAGCTTTCCTTGGAACTAGATCCTTAATGACATCAGATCATTCAGTTGAGGGAGTGCCTAGCAATTGCTCCCACTGCAAGACTAATACCAAAAGCATCCTTACAATGCATATCTTATGTCAGGGCTGTTCAGCTTTTAAGAGGCCAAGGGCTGACTGCCCTGCAGGCTGTACCAGTAGAAGGTATGCAGTCCCCTCCACCTGGGTCACAC